GCGTTTTCGCAAAGAGGACGTCCAAAAACATTGAGTTTTTCCAGATTTTCGGCAAAAGGATGCAGGAAGCCCAAGCCAGCAAAAAAGCCGGCAGGGGGAATCGAGCCTGGGACCCCTGTTTTGCGACACCGGCTCCCCGAAGACTACGTTTAGTGGAACGTCATCAAATTGCCGCGCGGTACGTGGGGGACCCCCCCCCCCCCTCCCCCCAAAAAACCTACGACCTACGTAATAGACGTCGGGCGGGGGGGGGTTAGGGGGGGGGTTATCCTCTATCCTCTAGTAAGTATCCGACACGCCGAGCAATGTCGGCGGATTTACTATATTTTGCAGTACTTTTATGAATCACTGTAACCCTGACTCTTCCACAAAGACTCACATATCATCTCACACAAAACATGTCTTTTTCAATAACTCTTCTCTACAGAAAATTCACATACCCTGTCACCCAGAGCATGCCTTCTTTCACAAAGGTTCACATATCCTCTCATGCTCCGCAAATGTTGCGCAACATTTGGAATTTGTTGCGCAACATTTCCCTGGACCAACAAACCAAAAAACCAAAAAACAAAGATTCCCAGCCATGGTGGGGGCCAGGATTGGTTTTTTGGGTTTTGGGTTTTTTGTTTTTGTTTTTTTTGTTTTTTGGTTGTTGTTTTTTTTTGTTTTTTTTGTTTTTTGGTTTTTTGGTTTGTTTGGTCCACAAAATGGCCTTGCAGAAAATGCATGAGTTCCATCAAAATACACTGTAAATATCAATGGTTTTGATACATGATGCAACAACACCTGGGTACTGGGGGGGGGTACCATATATGAGCCACGGACAAAACACACGAAGACCACTTTATCAAGGCCGGGTACGTTTTTGCATAACACATGCCAAAACCATGCAAAACGATAAGGTCTCCCCCAAAAACGATAACCCTTGGCTAACACACGGCTCTATAATAACCACTGCAGTTGCAACTTAGCTAGGGTGGGACCCTTGCGTGGCCACCGTAAAACGAGAAGGCGAGTCGCCACTTTCGAGCTGGAGCTGCCAAGGTGTGCTTCGTAAATACAACACTTGTACTGAGAAGTTGCGATTTTCGAGCTGGAGCTGCGGAAGTGTACTTCGTGTACTAGACTTGTACTACAAAGTTGCGGCTTTCGAGCTGGAGCTGCGGAAGTGTACTTTGCGTGCTAGACTTGTACTACAAAGTTGCGATTTTCGAGCTGGAGCTGCGGAACTGTACTTCGCGTACTAGACTTGTACTACAAAGTTGCGATTTTCGAGCGGGAGATGCGGAAGTGTACTTTGCGTACTAGACTTGTACTACAAAGTTGCGATTTTCGAGCTGGAGCTGCGGAAGTGTACTTCGCGTACTAGACTTGTACTACAAAGTTGCGACTTTCGAGCTGGAGCTGCGGAAGTGACTTCGCGTACTAGACTTGTACTACAAAGTTGCGACTTTCGAGCTGGAGCTGCGGAAGTGTACTTCGCGTACTAGACTTGTACTACAAAGTTGCGATTTTCGAGCTGGAGCGCGGAAGTGTACTTCCCGTACTAGACTTGTACTACAAAGTTGCGATTTTCGAGCTGGAGATGCGGAAGTGTACTTCGCGTACTAGACTTGTACTACAAAGTTGCGATTTTCGAGCTGGAGCTGCGGAAGTGTACTTCGCATACTAGACTTGTACTACAAAGTTGCGACTTTCGAGCTGGAGCTGCGGAAGTGTACTTTGCGTACTAGACTTGTACTACAAAGTTGCGATTTTCGAGCTGGAGCTGCGGAAGTGTACTTCGCTTACTAGACTTGTGCTACAAAGTTGCGATTTTCGAGCTGGAGCTGCAGAAGTGTACTTCGTGTGTTAGACTTGTTCTACAAAGTTGCGATTTTCGAGCTGGAGCTGCGGATTTGTACTTTGCGTACTAGACTTGTACTACAAAGTTGCGACTTTCGAGCTGGAGCTGATGAACTGTACTTCGCGTACTAGACTTGTACTACACAGTTGCGATTTTCGAGCGGGAGCTGCGGAAGTGTACTTCCCGTACTAGACTTGTACTACAAAGTTGCGATTTTCGAGCTGGAGCTGCGGAAGTGTACTTTGTGTACTAGACTTGTACTACAAAGTTGCGACTTTCGAGCGGGAGATGCGGAAGTGTACTTTGCGTACTAGACTTGTACTACAAAGTTGCGATTTTCGAGCGGGAGATGCGGAAGTGTACTTCGCTTACTAGACTTGTACTACAAAGTTGCAATTTTCGAGCTGGAGCGCTGTGGAAGTGTACTTCCTGTACTAGACTTGTACTACAAAGTTGCGATTCTCGAGCTGGAGCTGCGGAAGTTTACTTCGCGTACTAGACTTGTACTACAAAGTTGCGACTTTCGAGCTGGAGCTGCGGAAGTGAACTTCCCGTACTAGACTTGTACTACAAAGTTGCGATTTTCGAGCTGGAGCTGCGGAAGTGAACTTCCGCCTCTGCAGCACACTCCCCTGAGGGCGATTCCAGAGGAAGGCTTCCGCACTCCCGCTGAGGCCACGGACGAGGACTTGGCCCGGATGCGCCAAGGCGGAGGAAACCGCTTCGGCGAGGACGACCTGGCTGGAGACCCCGAGGCCGTACTAGACTTGTACTACAAAGTTGCGATTTTCGAGCTGGAGCTGCGGAAGTGTACTTTGCGTACTAGATTTGGACTACAAAGTTGCGATTTTCGAGCTGGAGATGCGGAAGTGTACTTCGCGTACTAGACTTGTACTACAAAGTTGCGATTTTCGAGCTGGAGCTGCGGAAGTGTACTTCGCGTACTAGACTTGTACTACAAAGTTGCGATTTTCGAGCTGGAGCTGCGGAAGTGTACTTCGCGTACTAGACTTGTACTACAAAGTTGCGATTCTCGAGCTGGAGATGCGGAAGTGTACTTCTCGTACTAGACTTGTACTACAAAGTTGCGATTTTCGAGCTGGAGATGCGGAAGTGTACTTCGCGTACCAGAATTGTACTACAAAAGTTGCGATTTTCGAGCCGGATCTGCCAAAGTTCGAAAACACTGTAAAACAATAAGGTCTCCCCCAAAAACGATAACGTTCAAAAAAGTACTAGGGCCAAGTAAAGTGTTTCGTCCGCTCCTCATATATATATATATATACATATATATATATATATATAGGGGTCCCTCTTTGGTATGGTTTTGGGAAGCCACGCCAACCCAGAGGAATTTGGACCGCCATCTTTGCACTTTGCTCTCTGGATCCTTGCGATAGGCGCTTCAGCGACGAGACCGCATCATTGAGGCAAGCCAAGGGCGAGCGGAGATTTTGCTGGGCGGTTGCCATATTCATGGGCTTGTGTCGTTCTTTCTTCTTCCGTTTCTTTGATTGGGCGATTTTGATTGGTTTTAGACGGGGACAGCAAAAAGGAACCCCCGTTCTTGCGACTGTTTTGAGATGGACCCAACCATGTTTCCTTTCGTCTTTGATCTTGTTTTTCGAAACGGGTTTGGACCTAATGCATAAGCTCAGGCTCATCTTTCCTCGGTTCCGAGCCCCGGTTCCTTAGGTCCTTTGGGTTTTTTGGGTTTAGTCGTAGTTTCCACTAAACCACCAAACGTCTAAAAGTTTGACTTTTAGCAGTCTATCTGGGAACAGCCCAGCATGTCTTTGTCATGGTGGTTGCCAAAAGGAAGTTTTTCCGAAATGGAGCACTCGGCGAGCAATGTATCAACATCCGGCCTCAGAAACAAACAGCAAATTAATACATCGGAACCAGCGAACACCCGAGGGACTGGTGTCGGAAGTGTGCCTACTTGCACGTTCGGCCAAGCTAGTGAGTTGTGTGCAACATAAGTCCCCCGTTCAGCGGGCTTAACCCTGTTACTCGTGGGTTAGTAAGCCCAAGTGGCTAGCCACGGCAGCCACCTGGCCAATCGAATATCCGAGCATGACACCGAGGAACGCAAGCTGGAGGAATGGAGCTTTTCCGGGGCTTGATCGTTTCATCACCCCCTGAGCACGGATTCATAATAACTAGCTTCGAGGAGAATAGTGATAATGGTAGTACTCATATATGGCTGTGTTTTTTTTGAGGGGTCTGTAGCAGAGCCGCGGCGGACAAATTCTTGCAGACCTCGTTACAGACCTCCGTAACAAGATCCGCTGGCTCGTTACACACCCCTTGGCTGGTTGCATGCCCCTCGTTACATACCCCAATGCGTGCACAGACTCTCAATGATTTCCCATGGGTGCCTGCTGAAGAGTCAACTTGCAGAGAGCTTGCCATTCAGATGAAAAGTTGAGACAGGGGCCGCTATTGCTACTGTGCTTTGCTTTCTCTTGTTGCGGACCTCGTTACAGCCGTTGCGTACCTTGTTACAGACCCAACCCCAGCCTGGGCCAGCGACCCCTCGTTTTGCCTTGGCAGTTGCAAATTTCTAACTACAGCTGCGGAGGCGTGCTTTGCGTACTGCGCTTGTACTGAAGAGTTGCGACTGTCGAGCGGGAGCTGCTGCTCTTTGTTGTTCTGCGCTACATTGTGCTACTGATACTGGTACTTGTCAAGAAGTGTTTTCCCGTTACAGGCCTGCGTGACAAGGACCTCCGTTACAGACCTCCGTGACAAGATTTGTGGCGCGTCGCGCGTTACAGACCCTCAAAAAAATAATAGCCATGTGTTTCCCGGTTGCTGCGGGAGAGTATCCGGAGCATGCGGGAGGTACTCGCGCCACGGGAAGTTTTTTGACATTGACCTCGTGCCCTGTTTTGTTTGACATCGACTAACAACAAGAGGGTGGCCTTTGTACTTTTGCGTGGCAACTGGATGCAGGACCATTTCCGGGAGAACCCGTCATATTGAGCCATACAAAGGGAACAACATGCAGCCATGATCAGCACAAAAGTCTTGTCATGGTGGTAAGTGCTGTTCTTTACATGCCCGGTATCCCATGCCCGAAATGGCCTCTGACTAAAGGTCTGGGTAGATAAAGCGACTCGAGGTGAATCAGATCACCGGTGCCGCCGCCATGGTAGAGGAGATGAGCGCGGCTGCGGGGCCCCATGATTTTGCGTAAGCGACACGCGTTGCGTGCTTTCCTTTTCCAATCTTTCATAGATGATTATTAGTTCATCTCATTTTCAAGATCTACTTCTTTTCTCACGAGTCTTGGTCTTAACCACAAACTGTCTCAGACATTCCTCGTGAAGTTGTTTGGCTGTCCTTTATGTGTGTGTGTGTGTCTTTTTCGGGGTGGGTTTCCCTTGGGTTTCCCTTACGTGTTTCCTTGACTTGCATTTGCCTAACATTGTTTGTTTTCCCCTGCACCTGCGCGCTTCCCCGCGCCCGCGCTCACGCGGCGCCTGTGCGCGCACCCGCCCCCCCTTAAAGTTAGACAGGGCCTTTCCCGTCCGCATTTTGCCATCCGGTCCTAGGGTCCCCCCCACACTTTTGGGCACATTCTGAACACACCCACTAAAACAACCTATTTTCAACATTCAAATTCAATCACCCAACCAATCCAACACCAAAAAACACATATTCACATATCCATCTTCATTTCTTACCCCATCTCAACATCACCCCTATGCTCATTCAATAACAACAATCATAACTACATACCACCTCAACAAATCCCACCAAAAAAATCCAAGCTACATACCAACGTTTTTTCATGCCCAAGATCGCAACCCCAAGATCTCAATAATTTCTCCCTTGATCCAAACTGCAACCCTTTCCCATTTCCAACAAATACGAACAGTCTACAAGAGAACCCTATGTTCGCCCCGAAAAATGGTTAACCAATGGAAAAGGGAGAATTAAAACCGTTAACCCAAATCTTGAAAACAATCTGTGTGACATTGGATGGCAATATGCGGATGGGAAAGGCCTATGTAGGAAATCACCCCCACGGCTTATACGGGAAAAGTACAGTACAATTATAACATGTAAGCATTTATATGTTATAATTATATTATGAGTTCAACTCTATTTCTAATCAATCTTAAAATTCTTTTATAATTCGTTTCATTATTTTATCAACTGTTTTTTCATTATAAATATTATTTCCTATTTCCTTGTTAAACAAGCCCATTGTTCTAATTGCACTTATTACCGTATATCTAAGTTCGTGAGCTTTATACTCACAACTTAAAAAATCAAAGTCATTATCATTCAATGCTTCTTTCATTAAACGCCTAATATTAAAAGACATACCATATAATCTTTTTACCAGATTATCACACTTAAAAATAAAATCATTATCATTTCCTTCCTCATCGCCCTTATATAACAAATTTCCAAACTCTTCTTCGGTCAAGAACTTATTCATTTCAATAAACACAAATATTTCTAAATCTTCATCGATATTTTGAACATTTCTAGTATTAATATATTTGCTATTCATATCATCAATTTTGTTTATAACTTTATTGCAATTATCACATATCATATTTTGCCAAATATTATCACAAACACCATTTAAAAAACCTTGTTTAATTGGTAATTTTAGCATCTCACAGTCCCTACATTTATAACTCATAAACTTTTCTCTGAATATATTTTTAGCATCAATATCTTCACGGACTGTATCACTATATTTGCTATATTCGCTGTCTGTATCACTATATTGACTATTTTCACTTTCTGCATCACTATATTGGCTATTTTCATTTTCTGTATCGCTCATTGTCCTAATATACATATATAGGTAATATTTCTTTAAATACATTTTGGAGAAAATTTAATTTATAGAACTATTTTTGCCACTATAATTACAACATATAAGATCTTACATGTTGTAAGTATAGCAAAACTATGGTATCAAAGGCTTTAATCTATGTATTTCCATGGGTTGTGTTTGTTTCTTCTGTTCCTTCCTTAACTCTTTTGTTGCTTTTACTTTGTCTCTGCATTCCTTACATGTTTTGTAAAATATCTCTTCCATTTTAATTCTGTCATACATTTTGTGAAAATCCTTTCTTGGCTTTGCTTCGTCGCATTTACTGCAAGGATAAACCATTGTGCATCCTGTTTCTTCTTCGTCATCTGTAGAACTCATAATATTAGTTATGCCAATATGTCTTTAAACGGATTTTCAGAGAAACATGTTTTAAATCAAGAATAAACACCTGTATCTTCATCATAGTCGATTTGATAAAATGTCATAGTGGAAGACTTCGGTTCTTTAATTTCTTTGTTATTAAGTTTGTTTAAATAAATATTTCTTTTATTTTTATATTCACCATTGGTTCTATCTACTTCTTTACTTTGATAACTGTTTGTTAACGGTTTCTTCTTTTCCATTTCTTGTAAGATTTCTAAAATATTCTTATTCTGTTCTAAAACCTTGTTCAGTTTTTTAACAATCTTATCTAATCCTTCGTCCATATATATATACTATATTATAAAATAAAACTTTTAAAACCAAATGTTTAAATTATGTTAAACCTACTCTTTAAATACTAACTTCTGCCCCTATTAAAACTAACATCGATTAAATGTTCATTAGTTTCAACCACCATATCACCACCAGTTTTTTTCTTAATATTCAAACCTTTATCTGATTTTCTATAAGAAAACATACATGGAACACAACTAACCTTAACACCATCTTTTTTATTTACCGTCAATTCATTCTTAAAATTCATAACATGGTTACATTTATCACATTTTATAGATTTGCTTTCACCCAATGATTTAATACTTTCCGTTGTTTCTTTTCGTGCTTCAGTATCAGGCGTTGGTCTTTCTTTGCTTTTACTTTTTTCTTTCTTCCCATTTATATTAATATGTACATTTTTATTTTTGATATATTGTATCACAAACTTAATTATTTCTAAAACAAAATAGCATACTTTCTTGCATCTATTATCAGTTATAACAACTTGTTCTAAATTCTCTACTTCATCTATTATATCAATATAATCTGAATAGCTTCTATTCATATAAAATAATAAATATAAAATATTTTCTAAATAACTTTAATATTATTTTATTATGTCAGATGTTCCAATAATAAAGCCAATAAACATAACTGAATATGAATTCAAAAAATCTAAATATGAGCACGTGCCAAAATTACCATTTAGAAGTATTATAGTTGCGAGTTCGACAGGTGGCAAAACAGTCTTGGTTCAGAACCTTATCTTAAACGTTTATAGAAATTCATTTGCAAGAATATTTATGTTTTCCCCCAGCGTTCATAATGACCCAACCTTTACAGAAGTTAAAAAATATATCAGGGATGAATTGCACGTGGATGATGAAAAAGAACAAATTTATTTTGATAACTATAATCCAAGTGATTTAGAAAATGTAATTGAAAGACAGAAGAAAATAATTGATTATATGAAATCTAAAAAGATAAAGAAACTACATTCAATATTAATCGTTATAGACGATCATGCCGACGATCCTAAATTTGTTAGATATAGTAAATGATTACATGGATTATTTACAAGAGGTAGGCACGATGCAGTAAGCGTAATTTGTTCAACACAAAAATACAATGTTTTGGCGCCTATCATTCGTTTAAATGCCAGTTCATTATATATTTTTAGGTTGAAAAATGCCAGTGAATTAATGAGTTTTATTGAAGAAAATAGTGCCATTGTTGACAAACAGCAATTATTAGATATGTATCATCAAGCCGTTAATTTTGCTCCATATTCTTTTTCCTACGTGAATATGAATTCAAAAGACATGAACAAAATGTTTCATATCAATTTTGAACAGGCAATTCAAATTACAAATGATGAATAAAGATATTCTAATTTAATATAATGTAATATTATGCTAATGAACCTATGTAGATGTGGTGGATTTTATCGTAGAGGTAATTACAATTTTCATACTAATTCTTGGATACATAAACTTTATAAAGTGTTAAAAAGACGACCGACAGACGAGGAATTATTAAGATTTCAAAATAATTTTGTTGATGAAGAAGATTTAATAGATGATATGTGTAGCAACGCCTCAACAAAATTACCCGAAAGTGAAATGACAGATTATGATAGTAATTAATAATATTAATGTATGTTAATATTATCAAATTAGCATAAAGAATAGCTACATAAATTTAAGGCAGGAAATTTATAATATATTTTTTGTCTTTTTTACATTCATTAACTTTTTCCTAATTTATTTATTATTGCTTTCAATGAATTTATTTGTAGAATATCAATTCTTGGCATTTCACTTGTCGTATTTACATCTATATCTTTTATTACTTTAATAGCCTCTTCATCATCAATTTCTACTGGTTTTGATTTACTTGAACCCATTATATATAATCTTATTTAGATTTTAATTTTTCAAAATTATATTTTTGTTTTTCTTCTCCGTCTTCTTCTTCGTCTTCAGTTGGTGCTGGTATTTCTGTTGGACTTTCAGATGAAGAACTATGAACAGTAATAGGTGGAGAACTATGAACACTAATAGCTTCATTTGATGAATTGCTACTGCTACTTTGTGCATTCCCTGCTGTTATCTGATTGACTAAATCTGCGATATTTATTGTTGTTGCAATTGCGCTGTGTGATAAGTTTAATATTATATCTGCTACTGTAGCGCCGTTGTGTAGCATTATTTCTATCATTTTTGTCAGTTTGAACTTCTTTTCTTCTTCATCGCTGTCATCCTCGTCTGGTGGTTTCTTTGGCGGTGGTTCTGGCGGTTTGTTGTTGTCAAGCATTGTAGTAAAGGCTGACACCATTGCATCGCGTTGGTTTTTCAGTGTTTGTGTTGCTTGCGTTCTTGTTGGTTCATGTCTTTTGTATGCGTTGTGCCAAAAGTTTTTAAGCATTATTTTAAACATATTGTCTTGGTTTTCCTTTACCTTAAACGCTTCAAATGTCATATTTAATTGCTGATTTGCATCATTGTATAACTTTTCTTGAGTCTCTCTGGTTTCTGTGGCGATTGTATCTGTATTGGTTGCAATGTCAATAAATTCTCTCGGTATGCCTTTTTTCATCATTTTCGGTGGTTGTATTGTTGTTGGTGTGTTTGGTTTTGTTAGGTTATGTATTGAAAAACTGTCGTCGTGAT